TTGTTCGTTTTTTAAGACCGACCGCAAGCCCTGATTCTCTAGAACTGTTTTGGGCATAGGACCATGCGGGCGGTTGGTCAAATTATGACTTCCAGGAAATTCCTGAACCCCTGAACTGATCTGGGTGATTTTTGGATATGTTGGTCACCCAGATCAGAGCTTGTAAAAATTTATATTTTCTGTGCCAAGAGATAATTGAGTTTCATACAGTGCTTGACTCAATTATCTCCCAGGCATAGGGGAGGGATTGACCTATTTTGTATGGGAGTTTCCTGGATCTGAGAGCCAATGTAATTTTGTATATGTTTTTACTGTAGTCTGCTCTCAGGTCCAGGAGGTGTGCCCCATGCATGGGGAACTGCATATAAGGCCAATTGTGGCTGCCATTAAAGAGATTTGTTTTACCCTTCATGAAGTCTAGGCTCATGTTTGGGGGATTGGAGAGCTATATTCACTCTGGGGATTGCTATAATCACTATACTCGCTTGGATCACATCACTTGGTCTTGTAAGAGCCACTGGAAGCTGGATCCTGGTCTTGGGTCCAGGGTGTGTGGAGGACAGCGAGACCCCAACCAAGCTATGGCGGTTTGTGGGGTTTACTGGGGTGGCTATGGTGTTCCAGTGCGGTGCTTATGGTGCTCGCTAGGGCCGCCATCAGGGCATGACAACCATAACGGTTGTCATGGGCCCGGCTGTCCTGGGCCCCACATTCAGTGGTGTATATACCGGGGTCACAGGGGGCCCTGCGACCCAGTATGCACCCACTGTGGCCAGCCTCTTCTCCTGGGGGGCCCAGCAGCCGGTCACCTCAGGGCCACCCGAGGCCATAACGGTTGTCATTGGCCCAGGTGTCCTGGGGGGTCCGGACTGCTCAGGTCGTCCTGGGCCCCACATTCAGTGGTGTATATACCGGGGTTACAGGGGGCCCTGCGACCCGGTATGTACCCACTGTGGCCAGCCTCTTCTCCTGGGGGGCCCAGCAGCCGGTCACCTCAGGGCCACCCGAGGTTGGCCCTGGTGTCACCCGGTGGGTGCACAAAGGAGCACTCTCCCTGGCTGAGTGCTTCATCTTCAGTTCCCTCGCGCACCGCACTGATGCCGGAGCCGGAAGATGACGTCATCTTCTGGCTCCAGCATCAGTACGCAGCGCGCGAGGGAGCTGAAGAGGAAGCACTCAGCCAGGGAGAGTGCTCCCTCGCGCGCGCGCCAGCCCGCCCGCAGGACCAGCCGCCGGGTGACACCACTGGACCCCAGGGAATCCCCTCAGCACTCCCACAGGTAGGGAGGCTGGGGGGATGAAATTTTTTTTTTAAAGTGTATGTGTGTTAGAGTGTGTGTGTGTGTGTGAGTGTGTGTGTTAGTGTGTGTTAGGAAATTGGAGAGGGGGGAGAAGAAGAAAATTGGAGGGGGGGAGAAGAAGGAAATTGGAGAGGGGGGAGAAGAAGGAAATTGGAGAAGGAGGGGGAGAAGAAGGAAATTGGAGGGGGGGGGAGCTAAAAAGGATCGATTTTGGTCTTGAGATGTTAATGAGGAGGTGACATATCTAATAAAATACTTCTTTCAAAACCAAATAAGTGGTTCCAGTAAGATGTCTTCAAATACTTTTGAATGTGATACTTATTATGAAACAGTTTTCTCTAAAGGTATCTTATCCCTGTCCTCTTAACTCATAGTCACCCTTTAGAATCAGATGTTGGTGTAAGCGTGGACAAATAGTGGCTTTTTCACATTGGTTGAAATTACCACCCATCATCAAACTGTCGATGACAGGGATCAGGCACCCAAGATGGCCGCACGTACTTCATAGTAGCTCCTGCAAACTCGAATTTACATCGCACACAATCCACTTTAATCCTACCACAGGACTCTGAGCAACATCACCAAACAATTCTTGCTGCCATCAGCAACATATCCTGACAGATTTGGAGAGCCCGAGTGCATTGGATACTCACAAAACCTGACTCTGAAGCCTCCTGAGCTTGTCAGCCTAGTAGCTAGGAGAGGCGGCCGATCTCCCTGCTCTGGGTTTCCATCTCACCACAAGCTGCTCACAGCCCTTTTTCCCCCTCCTTTGGACCGGTGGGGATATCCTGGTCCCCACTAAGTGCCCATCAGCAAACAGCATGGTGTGGGGGACCTAACGACAAAATCTGCAGAGCCACATGCTAGCGACAAAGATGGCTGCCATACGGGGACCTGATCTCTGGGCTTGCCACAACGACCATATTGACAAAGCATTTAAACACTTCTAGTCGCAATTCTGGGCCTAGGTTAAGGAAAGGGCACGGAGACAAGCAGTTATAGAAGTCTCTCAAAAGCCTACCACAGCTATCAACCCAAGATCTGCACTGAACCCCAAAGCTATGATGCTGACCATGAAGAAGCAAAGAGGGAGGACGCAGAGGGCACCCAGACTCAGGAGACGCTGCCCTGCAATCCGCCCTGCAATCCGTTGTAGCCGACCAGTGACTCAGTCCCTATAGATAAATTCACCCAAGCACAGCTTACATTCTTGGATAGCGTGTATTCAACATGGAAGCCAGCAGACCGCGAGAAGCTTCCGGGGTTCTGTCCGGACCGTTAAACAGAAACATGAAGACCAAGTACTAGACTGTCCTGGGGCCTGGGTCTGGCGGGGTAGAGATGCAAAGGAACAACCTTTTAATACACCACGAGGAGAGCTGCACTGGCTAGTGGGCATGGGCTGACCTCCCTTATTGGGAGTGGGCCTAGGTTCATACTAGGTTCATACTAGGCCTCAAGGCTCATACTGGGCAGAGCAATGAACTCCTGAACCCACATTCACCCACCTCACGCTCTTAGTATCCAGCCATACACTTACTTAGCTTGCATTTGTTTACTTTGTATAGATGGCACCAGTGGTATAATAACTTGGCATGTTTTATGTAGCTACTTTTCTTTCCTATTATCAAAAAATTATGCTGTTTCGTGGCATGCCACACTAATGTCTTACACTACTTGTCATTATTATGCTTGTCGTTGCTGTTGTGGCAAGAGAAGCTGGTTTGTTATCTTTCCACAACCAAAATAAAGAATTATATTAAAAGGTAACTTAGGTTAAACTTGGAAACATTTGTTCAAGATCAATCCCATTTAAAGGGTTACTCCACACACCATGACCATTGTGGTGATTTGAAGAGTTCATGCTGGTTTGAGTCTGTATGTGCAGCCTTTTGCTTTGATACACATATGTCAAGTTTAACCCCTTTGGTGTAACTTCACCTCCACCAGAACAAGAGTTCCTGGCTGGCTATGGTCAATACTGTGCATATTTCCATGTACAGTGTACAATTCATTGGTTGAGAGCGATCGGCTAACGCTTTCAAACAATGAATGGTGACTAGTTTGACAAAAGCCGGAAGCAGGAAAAATCCTCGGCACCTACCGTGGACCCAAGTAAGAGGGCAAACATTTTCTAAACCATGATCATAACCCCTATGGCAGGCTTTAGGAGTAACACTTTTAGGTAGTCCATTTGTTGAATACACAAGGACCAGGTCTTCTGATTTCATGGTCAGATTGGGAGTCAGTTCAACATTGAATTTACTCATTGTTGAAGGACACATTGGGTTTGGGTGGACTGAAGTTTTGTCCAACCTAACTCAATCAGTTTTCTACAATTGGCACATATGTAGATATGACAAAAAGGCTGATGAGGTCATAAAACTAATTTTGGCCCAATCATAGCACTTATCAATCTAAGGCAAAGGTATATTTTGTCTTTGAATGTTAAACCCACACAGGGCCGGTGCTAGGATTTTTGACTACACAGGCGAAGATGCATTTTGACGCCCCCTCCCCCCCCAAAAAAATAAACAATGCATCTTCACCTCTGTGTCTCGTAGCCCCCTTTTGAATTTCTTACCCCCATTAGTGTTGCATATCCACTCTCTTGAATGTCTTACCCCTTTGGCCCCTTTGTGCCTTACACCCCCCTTTAGTGTGTCTCCTACAACCCCTCTTATGTATTTCTTACTTCCCCGCCAGCCCCTATCTATCTCTCTTTTTCTCCCACATAGACATAGATACAGGCAAAAATACATACATGCACAAATACACAAACATACAGACACACAACCATACAAGCACACAGACATAATTTTTCAGGCACACAGTCACAAAGATATACAGACACACAGTCATAAAAGGCACACAAACAAACACAGTCATACAATCTACACATACAGGTACATTGTCGTACAAACACAGACATACATTCATACAGACACAGGCACTCACAGAAATACATACACAGACATAAAGAAACAGAGATAGGCATACAGAGACATACATACACAGACAAACAAAGAACCCTGCACACTGATACCGTGTAAATGCTCTGGCCATCAACAGAGGTGGATGCTCCATGTCAGGCAGACATTGCTGGATCCACCAGTAAAGTCTTCAAAAGGAATAAACGCAGGCAACACTCCAATAGTAAGGATGGTATATTTATTGGTAGGTGAACCACCCCATAGAAAGTGTGATGTTTCAGCTCATGCAATAAGGCTCTGCTGAGCCGAAACGACGCACTTTCTTTGGGGTGGTTCACCTATCAATAAATATACCATCCTTACTATTGGAGTGTTGCCTGCGTTTATTCCTTTTGAATACATTACACACAGTCATACAGAGACATACATACTGTATGTCTCTGTATGACGGTCTGTGTATGTACACAGGATGGCTAAAAGATAGATCCCCATCTGTCGTGCAACTTCAACAATGCTTTGAAAGCTGGGGCTCTACCGATTCCCCATGCTTGCAGGATTGTATTTAGCATGGAGCAGTATTTGTGTGTTTGACTGTAAGCATGTGTTTGTATGGAGTATGTTTGTATGATTGTAGCGGTGTGTTTGTATGTAGTGTTTGCATTTGAATGCAAGCATGCATTTATGTGTAGTGTTGGTTTTTGAACGCAGGTGTGTGTTTATATATAATTTTGGTGTCCGATACAGAGGTGTGTTTGTATGTAGTGTTGACATTTGAATGCAGGGGTGTGTTTGTATGTAGTGTTGACGTTTGCATGCAGGTGTTTATTTGTGTGTAGTGTTGGTGTTTGAATGCTGAGATATATGCACATATACACATACACTGCCACACACGCACACACTGTGATACACATACACAAAGATACACACACTGACACATGCAGATATACATATACACAAACTGATACACATTCAGATAGACACACAGATACACACAAACACTGACAGACATACAGATAAACACACAGTGACATACAGACACACATACACAATGATAGGGAAGAAGACACACAAAGACACACTAACAGACAGACACACACACTAACAGACATTTAGATACACACAGACACATGGACAGAGACATATACATACACACACACACTGACAGACATAGATACACACACACTGACAGACATACACACACTGACAGACATACACACACACACACTGACAGACATACACACACACACACTACAGACATACACACACACTGACAGACATACACACACACACTGACAGACATAGATACACACACACACACACACTGACAGACATATACACACACACTGACAGACATAGATACACACAGTGACAGACAGATACACACAGACACACTGACAGACATAGATACACACACACACACTGACAGACATATACACACACACACTGACAGACATAGATACACACAGTGACAGACATAGATACACACAGACACACTGACCAACAGGTTCAGAAGGGGGGCTTACCTGGGATCCAAAGTGCTGCCTGAGGTAGTTGGGAGTTGGAGGAGCTGGTCCTGCCCAGCCCCCCTCCTCTCTGCCTTCTGCTGCTCTTGTCTTCTTGGGAGGACTTCCTCCCATGCTGACAAAAAGGGGACCGGTGGTAGCTCCGCCCCTGCTGTTCACCAGCCGCGCTGTGTGCTACAGAGGGAGCAGGGATATGACGTTCATATCCCCGCCCCCTCCACACAGTCCGCGGCACTGCTGCAGGTTGGCGCTCGGCCACGCTACAAAAAGTGACCGGCAGGAGAGGGGAGCGGTGCGCTTCCCTCCTGCCGGCCACCCGGACATTTGCGCCCCCGGGCCGGTGCGCCCTAAGGCGGCCGCCTGTGCCGCCTTATGGACGCGCCGGCCCTGTCTGCCTGCGACTGTGTGCATGTTACTGCATTTGACAGTGTATATGTATGACGGTGTGCATCTGACTTTGGGACTATGTGCATGTGACTGTGCATCGGACACCTGCATTCACACATGGGCCTACATGCATATTTTTTTTATCCGAATTGAATACACATAGCCAATAAACCCAGCACATATATCACACAGCCAATACACACATACATCACACACAGTTAATACACCCATTACAAATTTCACAACACATAACATACATATCACACACAGCAATAACGCCTATCACATACATAGACAACACACACATGACATCATATTATAATGAGATGTATTACAGTCTAGAACTGGTATGCAAAATGCTCATTACTCTGTGTTTTATAGTTAGGGAGCTTGGTGATACACGAATAGGCACATTACTTGGAGTTGTATTGTTGTGTAGAGCTTGTCACAGAGCTCTCCATTACAGTGAGTTTTATTGTTGAGGAGTTCTGTGATAAACTGTCACACACCACATAGTACTGTGAGTTTTTTTTGTTTGCTGTGGAGCTCAGTGATAAATGGATAAACAGCGCATTACTATGAGTTTTTATTCCAAGGAGGTCAAGGTTAACAAGGATACTCCAGAGCTCCACATGCAGAACAACTCACAGTATTATGTGACATACTTAGTCTGCCCCTCTGTAATGTAGGGGAGGCAGTCTGGCACCTCCTGCCTGCACTTCTGTTGGCCGCAGACCATAAGTAGCTGTCTTGGGCCAATCGGAGCACTGCCGCAGATTACCACAGGAAAGCTCTGACACCGCAAGTGCCTGAGCTCGCGAGACAGTCACGCATGGTCTGCACACAGTGGAGGCACCAACCAGATTCCCAGCATAGTGGAACACCATAGATCAGCATGACCCTCTGCGAACTGGTAACAACAGGAAAGGAGGAATGAATATATGTTTTTAAATCATTATTAAATAACTATTAATTTAATAACTTCCCTTTACACACACACTGTGCTGTGAAGATTTTTCGCACAGGGCACCTAAAGGCCTATGGCTGGCCCTGTTCCCTAGTATACTGCTAGCTGGCTGCGGCTTTATAAGAATGGATGGGGGTGTCTTGACACTGGCAGTCATGGCACCCCCCTTGTGAGTGGCACATGGGTGGACCCTCCTCCTTTGATTAGTACCCCACTGCCTGCACCAACAGCTTTCTGGGGGAAATTAGGAAACGCACATTTGAGAGTTTCTGTTTCTAATAAAAAGCTGTATTGGTCACAATGAGCTGCATTCACTGACACAAAAAAAAGAATGCACCTATTAGACCTCGCAGTAGACACCTGTAACAGATGGTTCCATTCATATTTCTTAATAAATGAAGACAACTGAGGCCAGGTCTGCAGAGCTTGGGAAATTGAGAGGTGAGTTGAATACAAAGTATAAATCTCTCTTACCATTATCTATATTATCATATAGGGTAAGGGTAAGAGTTTCATGAGATTTTTGGGGAGTGTTACCCAGTTGTCCTTAAGGACTCTGTATGCTGTCAGTAGTACTCTGTACCTACAGTCAAAATGAAAAATTCAGACTGATTTTAAAATATATGATTAATTCATATATTTTCAGACTAAAATACCCAAGCTGTGACGACAGAGTATTATTCTTCTAACTCCATTTAAGTGCTACTTTGTAATCCAGGTAAAATATCTCCTAGATTTGGCAAAAACATATCGAACAGTACTGTATATCAGTATAAAAAGAAACAATTGTCTGCAAACAAATGGCCAGCAGAGGGAGCTCTTGCTAAATCATACATTTGAACGTAGGATAAATACAGTAGTCAAATAAGATGACTTTTGCGACCCTGTGTCACATATTAAGCAATTATAAACATGACAGGTGCATTGCCGCCATATGGGCAGGAGGAGCTGTCTACTACCTTATACCAACCCACCCCATATAAAACACTGACACTCTTAGGTATGGGTCAATATGTCCACAGTTTTAATTTTATAATAATCATAATAATAATAATAACATATAAATACCTTTCTAAAGTCATTGCCCACCCCAAATCCTCAGCCATCCAACATTATCACTTCCCCACATATCGAATCACAAGGCAATTACCCATAATATATAACATAACATGGTATAACAACACGAAAATATAACATAAACAAGATCCAACATTTTCCACACGATCGTGGCAGGGGTATACCTTGATACCCCTACACCACCCAGGTTCTGAGCTACCAATGAGCTCGAAACCCACCAGCATCTTACCAACAGGTAACCAGTCCATATTAACCAGCCAACTAACTACTCTAGCTCTCCTCTTCCCTAAGCAGGCCCGTTACCCCCTTAACCTTCCTTATACCAGCCCGCCGCTGTGACCAAACGGGCAACACTTAACCCATGCCTAAAGGGAGGTAGGGAGGGACAATATAGACAGTGGCGTATCCTGGTTTTGTGCTGCCTTAGGCATGACAAAACACAGGCGCCCTCAGGCCCAGCTGTGACCTGCCCAACGCCAGCAGCCAGACTCGACGTGCGCCTCCTCCAGGCACCCAGGGATCTGCTACTCTGCGACCTGCCTGGCACCGTGAGTGACCATGTATGATCCCTGCACCCAGTTGCCCCAGGACCCTTAATCAAAGTGCGACCCTGAAGGTCCGCCTGCCTGCATCGCCTCCCAACAGCAGGCCCTGCGCACCCCAAGGTGCAGTCTGACAGACCCACCTGCTGCCCACTAGCCCGGGCCAAGGTGACATCGGCCACGGCAGCCCGAATGTGCCGTACCCGCACCTGTCCAGTACTGCCCAACGGTGCACCCTGCGCATACACCCCAGGATACACCTGATGGGAAGGACCCTGTGGCCCGCACCCAGTAGCCACCCCGCTGCCAGCCTTAACCCTCACACGGGAAAAGCCCAGCTGTGCCTCCAAGACCCTGTGGAACCAAGGGACCCTGAACAAGTAAGGGGGGGGATGATGTCAACCCCGGGGACACCCCCCACATCCAAGGGGCCCACTGCGCCTCCATCTGCCCTTGCATCAGGCCAGGAAGGAAACGAGGCCCTGGCAGACATACTACGCCCCCCATCAGCACCCCCAACGCCCGTGGGGCCTGTCACCTCCTGCTGAGAACTCCCACTTGCCTGCACACTGTCGGGCCCTCCAAGGGCCAGGTCAGGTGTCCCACCAGCTCCAGCCTCCGCCTGATATTTATCCCGACCACCAGGGGACGCCTGTTCTCTACAGACCCCACGCCTTGCACGCATCCAATGCCCACCCCGCCAACCTCGGGGGCCTGCAATCCAAGCACAGCTCCCACTGCACTGGGAGTTGCCCTGCCTGGCAGTGATGGGCCTGCCAGTCCGCTTAAGCTCCGCTCCCACTGTCGGGCACGTGAGGCGGCCGGCGGGGCCTGCTCAATGCCGCCAGTGTAGGTCCCAGCTCACACGCGGCCAGCCGCAGCTATACCCGTCCCAGTCCCGGCACCATACATAACCGCAGGACCCAGGCTCAATCGTTGTGGAGGTCTCCGCTGCCGTGCCGGACGCTGGCCCCCTCGGCCATCTTGACCGGCTCCAGGACTACACCTACTACTACTTCTACTTCTAAAATGGCTGACATTTATATCAGCCCAACCCCTAAATCCTAACCCACCAATCACCATCAGGCTCCCCCTAAGCCCACCTCCAAGCCCTGTCAAGGCCCCCTCTGCTAAGCTGCACTTTTCTTCTTGGGTTTACATCACTGTCATGTGACAAGAGACACCAGACTCTTCAAGTGTGTGATGCACATCAGAGGGTTTATTCTATAAACAATGAATTGTAAACTGAATGGAAAATTATACCTCCCAAGTGACCCTACTTATGAGTGGGAGTCCTTATTTTGGGTTTAATTCTTTACGTCCCTCTTTTCTCTACTAATGTACCATTTTTCTAGGAGCTCCATATTGTTGGTGTGGCTAAGTGTATCTTTCATGGTCTTTAAGCCAAGGTTAAAATTAAAATATGAATTGTCACTATTTTACAGGGAATCTCAAATTTTAGGCAAAAATAGTGGAGATGTAGCTATAAGTGACTAAAATCTGCAAAATCCTCTTTAACAGCATTTTCAGCTTTCCCTGCTACAGAGTATAACCTTGGAATGTTTTAGAAAGACAAAATGTAGAGACCTTTTCCTTGGCTTTATAATTTAGTTTGAATGATATTTTAAACTAAGGATGGTCAAAAGGTACATTCATGTCCAATGGCTGCTTAGAAGTACAATACCCATAATGCATTGCC